AGCCTCTGTTGGGAGAGACAGGGAAGGAGGTTTCAGTTGCTCCATGGTCTGATGTTTGGCAGCTGCTGCCAGTGCCCCCAGCTGTCAGGTCTGGGTGCTGGGGAGCTGCAACTGGCTGGGAAAAGCTTTGCACTGTCCTGTGCCCAGAGCCCAGCACCCAGGAGAGGTTTTCCACCGAGTCCAGCTGGGTTTTGCCAGGGGTTCCGTGGTGGGCTGTGTTTCCCTTCAGGTGCAGGTGTTGCCTGGGATCTGCATCCCATGGCTAACGGTGGCACCAGAGGAGGCACCACAGGGACTGCCCAGCTGGGTCTGACAGGTGTGGAGGCACCTGCAGACCAGGTGAGGGGGGGGGTCTCTTCCATGCTGAGCACAGGAGCAGGAGGAGATCCCCTGGCAGCCAAGCTGGGCAGCATCTCCCCAGGCTGTGCAGCTCCAGGGAGGTGGGTCCTCCCAGCCCTGAGCCCACTGGGAGCCTGGGAGAGCTCCAGGTGCTCCCTGTGTCCATGACACCCCAGGCAGGTGCTGCTGAGCAGAGCAGAACAACTCGTCTTGCTCTGTGTGAACCCACCTCCCACTCCCCTGGCAAACCCTTCCCACAGCCACTTCCCAACTGCCAGAGCCCCCAGGGCCACAGGATGGCACAAAACACCCCAATTCCTTCTGTTCATGGAGTCACGGGATCATGGAATTGTCAGAGCTGGAAGGGACCTCCAGAGGTCATCTGGTCCAGCTCTCCCACAGCAGCAGGACACCCTGGAGCACATTCCCCAGGGCTGCATCCAGGGCTTTGAATGTCTCCAGAGAAGGAGACTCCACAGCCCCCTGGGCAGCCTGTCCCAGGGCTCTGTCACCCTCACCATAAAGAAGTTTTCCCTCCTATTTCCATGTCACTCCCCATGTTCCAGCCTGTGCCCGTGGCCCCTCGCCCTGTCCCTGGGCACTGCTGAGCAGAGTCTGGCTCCATCCTCCTGCACCCACCCTGAGATACTTGCAGGCACTGATCAGGTCTGTCCTCAGCTTCTCCTCTCCAGGCTGAGCA